TCACTGCGGATGCTGGAAGATCCCCATTACTTTGATAGTTCGCTTCTTTGTCTACAGCATGTTAAACATTTCTGAATAGCTTCTCATGTAGTAATAATCCAGTTTCTCTCTTTGATTTCTGGATGTAGAATTTGTGTTCCTCTTTGAAGATATTTATCATTATGATGTTTCATGAGTTTTGCAGTTGTGTAATTTAGGCAGAATGACTGGATATTTTACATTATGTGCTATGCTAGAGCATTTTTCAGTCTTCCTTTCCACTCTGAGAAACCTTTATCTTCAAAGAATAGATGCAATACCTTGCTGGGAGGACTCAATGGTTTTTCATTTTCCAAATAATCAATTTCTTCACTAAATTCTTGCATTTGCGGAGACTTGATTAACCAAACATGAGCTGCGGCTATGGTATATCCTTCACTGAATGTTTAGGGGGGGGGAATATCTTCTCTTTTCAGCCAGTGTCGATACACCACCAAAATTTGTCTTCTATTAAACACTGAACTGGCACACCTCTACTAACTAAAAAAGCAGGATTATACTTTTCAAACTGTTTCCATTGTTTTATTGTTTCCATTTCTTTATCCAATAGAGAGCAATTATGAAGTTTGTCCTTAATTGCTCATAAACTTATCAATAAAGCCCATAAACCAATAATAATATCAATAAAGCCAATAATTGCTCATAAACTGTCATAAACATATCAATAAGATCCTTAAAAACCTCTGCCAGTTGCTTTCCTAATCTGCTGCCATTATTCCAACCATGGCACCATCAGTTTCTTCAAAAGATCCACTCTGCTTTTCACATGACAAGCGAAACCAAAATGTTACCATTGTCATCTAAGTAATGACAGTACGCTACAGCATCATAAGCTGGAAGGGACACATCACAAAATATGTGTATTTTGATTTTTAAGTTCTCACAATATGCAGATACATTTCTTAGAACAAATATCCTTCACACATCGAACCTCAGAACACTGGTTAGTCCACATGATTTTAAGGTCATCCAGCAATTCATCATCCCAACAGTATAACATTCCAAATTTTTGTAATAAACACTTTATCCTAACTAAAAATGGAATTACGAAATCAATCACATCAAAAACCATTGCTATAGTATGCAATATAAAACATTTAGTGCTCTTCAGATTCCTCAACCCTTTCAGGACGGACGTCCCATATACGCATTCCGTAAAAACGTCTCTTACAGCCAGGTGTCCCATCCTAGCATCGCTAGAGATTGCATTCAGAGGACAGGTGATGCGTATACGCATTTTAAGCTGGAACGTTTTTCTGAAGGCCACTAGATGGCATCCTATGTCCATTACTTTTGAAATGAACACAATTTTAGGTTCCTGACCTTGAGATTGATATATTCTGCTTGACTTTGGTATTTTACTCATCAGCTCTTGCGAGAGTGGAGGCGGGGAGGAAAACCGTAAACAGAGGTGAGCTCTTTAAATTGCTGCGTGCTAATAAAAACATTCGCGTGTCATACAATTCCTTTTTTTATTTTATTTTTTCCTTTACTATGTACGGCCTTTTAGGGTTAGTATGTGGAATATTGTTACTTTTTGCATTGCCTTCAGATATATTCCCATTTCTACTCTTTTTATTTCGAAAAGCCTCACCTCTAGTCTATTATGGTGGGAAGGCGCTATTTATCAGAGGAAGAATACCCTCGTATGGTCAATGAACCATTTATTAACGCAGATGGGAGTGATGATTCATTTTCTAAAGAGTTAGAAAGCAATACTTTTTCTAAGAGTTAATAAGTGATACTTCTCCATGCTTCGAGATTTACCACAGTCTTCAATTTAACTTTTTTTACTTGTAACTGTAAATAGTCTTTATTGTGTTGTTTTATTAATTTTAAACTTTGTTGATGGATTTTATCAATTAAAACTTTGGAATAATTTGAATAGCGCTTCCGAAAATTATTTTACATGATAAGCAATTTTTTAAGTATATTTTCATGTAAAATAAAGAAAAAATGTTATTAAGTGCTGATTTTGACATATATAAGAGCTCAAGTAATAATCTAAAATGGTACCAAAAATTACGATGCTAGAAGCGAAACTTTTTTTTTTTTTTCCGATTTTTTTATAAAATTAGGCTTAGCGATGCAAAACCTCCGTCCTGTATGGTGACTGCCTTCGATTCCCTTCCGTCCCGCACGAGCGTCTTAAACAAAGGTGCGCCGTCGCGAAAAGGTTAAGCTCTCCATTAATCCCAGTATATCTAAAGAAAATGTATCATCTACTGGATTCCACTTCAGTCCTAAGCTCTTCAATCAGAAATACAAGTATCCTTGCTAAATCCAATCTGCACCTACAATGATCTCAGTTTCTCAGAATTAGTTTTTAATTTCCATAAAATCATACCTACATCTTTTAAAATCAACACAGCTTAAAAGCCTCTTCAACACTTTTCCCCCCATGATATACATAAATCATCTATATACAGTGAAGAATTCAACATTTCAACAGATTCAGATGCATTTTTCCGATACTTTTTGTTGTGCTTTAAGTGACTTTTTATTGTTGTACTTGAAATAAATGGCGATAACTTACAATCTTTTTCTGTAGCATTCATTTTTTCTAGGATATTGTAAAATGATGAGGCAGGCTAGATTTTCATTATGTCTGGTTTTGGACAAGCCGTCACTCATCACTTCATGCATTTTATGAAGTTTTCTCAGGTCTTACAGTTCTTTAACTTATGGAAGCCATGTAATATAACACCAAGAAGCAAACAATCAATTATTTCTAGCCTCCTTAAAAATTTGAACAAATTATGTCATTTCATCCATTAGTTCTTCGTAAGAGCTTGGTGTTCTGACTTCTATTTCACCTAAATCTAAACTATGAATAAGCTGTGTTCTCAGAACAAATTTGTATCATGCACAGTTATGTTATATATTGCATACTGTAGCAATGGTTTCAGATAAACATCCAATCACTTTACTGTAGAAAATTTTAAAAAATCACAAAGAAGTCGCTGTAGACAACCTTCGCATAGCAAAGGCTAACAAAGAAATTCAATGAGACCTGGAACCTGAAATCCATCTGTCTCGTGTGTAGAAGAACTTTTATTTGTGTGAATATGGCTGAAAATATAAGGTTTCAGTTCTTTAATGACAGTCAGACACAGCTGTAAGTCATCTGGGGCTCGTCAGCCAATGAACACAAAGCGTGATTGAGGCTCCTCATTACTTTGCATTTCTGTTCATTGCTGAGTGTCACATGCTTTTAGAACCTGTTGAAGGATTTATGATCATGTTTGTAAAAAAAGTAAAGTATTACGTACTTTTCAAAAATTATATAGAGTTGGCTTTTCAAATTATATACAGTTGACACATTCTTTAAGGCATATGTGGCAAAAATATAAGAATAATATAAATTTGATTAAAAATTTTAGTACAAAAATGTACAAGTAGTAAATTTTTGGTACTGTTCTGTTATCGGGACCAGATTCAGAAATGTATGAATGTGTGTATGTATATACACACACATACATTTGTACTTATATACATGCAAACATGCATTATCTATACACACACATGCATTCGTATTTATATATATACATAAACTCATACATGCATACATACATTCCTTAACCCAGCCCTGATAACAGAATAGTACCAATTTTTTTTAAATATGAATATTTTTATATAATTTGCATTCAGAAATTAGTGTCAGCCCAGATGTTAATTAAATAGTATATTTATAGTTAATTCACTGTTTAAAAATATCAATCCTCCTTCTATCTTATTTCATTGTTAGAGTGGCCTCTGTATAAGCCTTTGACGATCCAATAAAAGCTTGATTGTATGGAAAGCTCATAAATTGTGAATGCTGAATACATGAAAATTCTGCATAATTGAGCACATAAAAATGCAGTTCATGGTAGAAAAGTCAAATGAATGAAGAAAAAATGTCTAGTCTAAAGTTATAAGAAGAGTCATCTTATTTCTTATCAATTGAATGTCAAAAGCTTGCATTTAAATTTTGTGAAAGTTTGAAAGAAAAAAGGCCATTTCAGGCATAAACACCAACATATTCATGTGAATAAAAACATATTCAATTATTAAATTCCATGAGTCATGAAAACTGGTGGAGATCTTTCCAAACTTATATCAATCATTTCATCAGAAATGAATATAACATATAAAAAACTTCAGTTTCATGTCATAGTTTTTTACACTGCACAACCACTGTTTATTCATACTCAAATAAAAGCAAACTTTTGATACTTGTATCTTATAATTTTGAAAACGTTGTATTTATTGCATGCTGTTCCGTCAAAGGTAAATCACAAGTTTTAATTAATTTTTCAAACTGTGATTAAAAAATTGTAAATAGCTGTTAGCTTATGTAATTTTTTACAGAACTTAAACTGACTTATCGAGAATTAATCGGGTTTACATAAAGTCCAGGCAAAAATCTTATGTTGGTTTGTGACATCAAACTTATCCATTATTGACACTGAATCATTCTGTTTGGGGCAGTTTTTGTTTGATCAGAATCGTAGTCCTATTTATACTTTGGGAGAGCTACAAATGTTCCATCTGCTTAATTTTTCATTAAAAAAGTTTCTAAAATTTGAAATTATTCCAGTTAGTAGTTGGCTTTGCCAGTTTTGTTGACACTGTATGGTAGCTGCTTTAAAAAAGGAAGCACCAAAAATGCTTCCCCCCCCTCCATATTTTTCTGTTAAAATCTTATTTGTGTTGCTCAGAAACTTGATTTTTGAGATTCATAGGTTGAGAGATACTTCTGATTAACAAATAGATAATTTGAAGGGGAACTATAAATAAAGAATTAATTTTCTATGTCATAAAATTGTTTCTTCATTATTATTATTCTCTTAAATTGTAAAATTATTGCTGTTGTTATTATTGCTCTCATTTAACATTACTTACTCACAAATAGTGCCGACACTTGAGTATCTGAGAATAAAAACACTTGAATATTCTAAAAATAAAATATCTTGCAGAAAATAAGAAAGAAACAGAAAGTTGCTCATAAAGAAGAATTATTTGAGTATAACGAACAAAACCAGAATTTAGGTGAGTGTGTAAACTATATTTATATAATTGATACTTTCAGATTTTCAGCATCCCCTCTGAAAAGTTGCTAATTTGTTGGTGACTAAATTCCACTAATTATTTTTAAAAATAGCATTGTGCTATAAAAGTTTACAGTCATTTGACTTTAACTGTATATATCAGTTCTTGGCCATAGTGTAGAATATATTTTTCTGAGCTTCTGTTTCTACATGTCTCAACTTTTGAAACATCTGCCATGCTTTAAATCTCTTATTTCAAAAGTTTAAAATGCTGAGAGTTTTTGTCATAGAAAGTATGTTTTTTAATTCAATATATAACCATTGAATGAAAATTAGAGTTATTCTCAATATTTTCTCTTAAGGGCTTTACAAGTATATTTTGAGAAATTTCTTTTTACGTTAACCTTTTTGAGGATTCTAATGAAATATTTAGATATTAAAAAGTAGCTGAACTAAAACTACAAAATTGTATATATTTTCCCTATGAAAATTATTGATGCAAAATCCTTTAATTTCCTTAAGATAAAATAAATTGCTGGAGTATAAATTATGACTAATTATATATTAATATATTTAGTGTTCAAAACCGTGAAAAACAACCTTATATTTAGCGTAGGTATAATGAAACACTCAATCGATTTCGAGGGCAGCTAAAGGTCCCTCCTCATCAGGAGAAAGAAATACATAGAAAGAAGAAAATAGGAATCACAGAAACACGTGGTGCTTATCAGCACTGCACGTCGTTATAACTAGATTTTTAATCAGAGTTGCACTGGCCGCCTACTTTTACTGAGCCAGGCTGTCTGATCAAGCATAAAGAAATATTAGCGAAGTTAAAATAGGGAGCGAGGGGCAAATGCACATTACGCTCAAAATCTGAACTTCAAATAATGGAAAGCAACCACTGAACGGATTTTTATACCCTCTGGTAGTACCAAGTGCGAGGAGGTAACGCCATCTATCGGCAAAAATAATTGAATTAAGACAGTAGAATTTTTAAAGGCATTAGGAAGGACTGGATTGGACTTCAAATCATTAACTAAACTTTCTATTTTCGAGATTCTATTAACTATTTTTCGAGGTAATTCTATATTTTTTCGGTTTACCACGTGCACGATTTTGACTTTCGTTGCTTCTTTCCACGTGGCTATTGGTTTTTCAGTATTGGATGTTTCTCTCCTTTTGGAATGTTTTTGTCATTTGTTGATGAAAATTGTCTTCATTATTTATTGGTGTTTTTTTCATGTTATAAGTAATTACTTGTTTGGACTTTCGGAATTACATTTCTTTTGTTCACTTGTTTCTTGCTTGTGCCCTTTTCACAATATGTCCACTGACAGGAACCGATTTTGTAAGTTACGCCTTAAGCGTACGAAATTCTTGAATCATCTACAGTTTCTACTTAAATGCAAACATCAAAATTTCATTCCCAAATTTATACATGTGAAATGTAGCCTTAAAGCTTCCGTTCACGTTTCAAAAATTTTGCATAAATTCAAATTGGCACTTCTTCGTCACATTATAAGGGACACACGCAAACGTTTATCTAAAATTGAATTTGAATTATATTACCTCCATTTAAAAATTGCTAATTCCACTGAAAATTTTTCCTCATTTGAACATACATCCTGGTCTAGAACCGATACCGTTTGTCAACGGCATAAAAATGTGCTCATTTCTAAATTCCAAAAACTCACACACCAGTCGGATAGTCCCAATTATCTAGCTGATCTTCCCACTGTAAACGTTAACTCCATCGTTAATATCTCCAATAGGAATCTTTCGGAGGATCAGTTAAAAGTATTAAAATATAATTTCAACTTTTCAAAGACATCTAAACCTTCAATTCCTCAAATCATCGCCCCTATAGAGAAAGCCTTTAAATTCTCCAAAATTTCGGAAACGCAGAAGGATACAATCCGCCACCTAATTACTCATAACGTTAATTTTAACAATAAATCTTTGGGTTCTAATCTTAGCAAAAAGGAAAATGAGATCTTACGTGAAATTCATTCTGATACTAATATCATTATCTCTAAAGCTGATAAGGGCGGACAGATCGTTGTTATGGACAAAACACACATATATTACTGGAGTCTCTAAATTGATAAATGAAGGCCCATACTGCTCGATCCCTAAAGATCCTTCAACTTCGGACCTCATGAAAGTAAAAAGTGCTATTAAATCTTCCCACATTCTGCCAACTCAGTTGAAGAAATCACTTATTCCGCCTATTACTAATTGCGCTAGACTTTATGCTCTTCCAAAAGTCCACAAAACCGGTATTCCTTTTCGACCAATTGTTTCCAACATAGGTACTGCTTCATATCCTTTGGCCAAATATTTAGTTTCCAGATTTTCTCCTCTACTTGATAACAATATTCACACTGTAAAAAATTCTGTTGAAGTCATTGATAAACTTAAAAATATTTCCCCACTTCGTTCCATTATGGTTTCATTTGATGTCAAATCATTGTTTACTAATGTTCCGGTCGAAGGAGCACTAAATTGTCTTGAAACTAGGCTTCGGGAATTTCACTTCACACATACTGAAATTAATGAGTTGGTTTCGCTTACTAAAGTTTCTCTAAGTCAAACCCACTTTGTTTTCCAAAATGCATATTTTCGTCAAGTTGAAGGATTGGCTATGGGTAATCCTCTCAGTCCGGTACTTGCTGACATTTATATGCACTATTTTGAGATGAAATTATTTGATAAATTATCTTTTCGTCTTTGGATTCGGTATGTTGACGACACTTTCGCACTTTTTGACGGTTATAAAGAGGATTTATCCGAGATTCTATCTATTATGAATTCAATTGATCCAGCCATCCAATTCACTCTTGAAATTGAATCCAACAATTCCCTCCCCTTCCTCGATATTCTTATAATCCGCAATGAAACCGATTTTAGCACCACTGTGTACCGTAAACCCTTTGCAGTTTGTTTACCACCCCATGCCAAGTCATGCCACCCTGTTAAGCAAAAAATGGCTTCTTTTTACTATTATGTTTTCCGCGCGCTAAAAGTTTGTTCCTCTGAATCTTTGCTTACCAATGAACTTAATTATTTGAGAGCAGTTGCGATTGACCGTGGATTTTCTCCCGTGATTATTGATAAAGCCGTCAAAAAATTTTTCAGATTCCCATCAAAGAAGACATTCCACTGTTAGAAATAATATCAATGACCTTGTCGTGCTTCCATTTTATCCTTCTGTTAGCTATAAAATTGCACGGATTCTCCAGAAATTCAATTTTCAAGTCGGTTTCTCCCCTATTAATAAAATTCACCCTTCGATTCTAAAAGATTGCGTTTCTGTCTTGAATTCTTGGGGAATTTATAGTATATCATGTCAGTGTGGTTTAAGATATATTGGCCAAACAAAAAGAGCGTTGAAGTTTCGTATCAAGGAACATGAATCTTATGTCAAAAAAGGGGAAATTAACAAGTCTTCAATAGCGTATCATAGCTGGACTTTTAACCATAATTTTGATTTTGGGTCTGCAAAAATCATCCAAAAGGCTTCTTCCATAGGCGAATTGGATTTTCTTGAGGCTTTTCACATTCACAAAGATTTAGAAAGTTTAGTTAATGATTTGAAGTCCAATCCAGTCCTTCCTAATGCCTTTAAAATTCTACTGTCTTAATTCAATTATTTTTGCCGATAGATGGCGTTACCTCCTCGCACTTGGTACTACCAGAGGGTATAAAAATCCGTTCAGTGGTTGCTTTCCATTATTTGAAGTTCAGATTTTGAGCGTAATGTGCATTTGCCCCTCGCTCCCTATATTTTAACTTCGCTAATATTTCTTTATGCTTGATCAGACAGCCTGGCTCAGTAAAAGTAGGCGGCCAGTGCAACTCTGATTAAAAATCTAGTTATAACCACGTGCAGTGCTGATAAGCACCACGTGTTTCTGTGATTCCTATTTTCTTCTTTCTATGTATTTCTTTCTCCTGATGAGGAGGAACCTTTAGCTGCCCTCGAAATCGATTGAGTGTTTCATTATACCTACGCTAAATATAAGGTTGTTTTTCACGGTTTTGATTGTCACATTAGCGTGTTTCTCTTCTAGTATATTTAGTGTTGTACAATTGAGTATATTTATAGATTCATTATGTATATATTAGCTTTTTTAAATGCTTTTTTGCTTTAGATATGTCAGCATGGTGCAATTGTTATGTACCAGATCCAGTATTGTATGCATTAAGAGATTTGGGATTCCACAAACCTACTGAAATTCAAGAACGTGTTATTCCATGTGCAATTAGAGACCATCAAGACATTTTAGGAGCTGCTGAAACAGTGAGTATTTGTTTTAACTTAAGTTTAACCTTTTTTATTCCTTATATATATTTTCTTAGAATTAAAAATCTTGTTAAATTTTTATGATTTTCTTCATCGGAAGTTCCCGCCGTTCTTAATTCTTGCTTATATGTATGGAATAAAAGCAGGATCTGATACATCTGTATCTTGAATGTATGTAAATATTTTCAGTGTTGCATTTTAAAAGAGTATAATACAGCACAAAGTCTTTAATCTGGACGTTCATAATCCGGAATGTTCTATAATCCGAACCGCAAAGCTACAAACTTTCTGCGCATGCGTAAACACATAATGCGTTTGCACATGCGCATAATACCTTTACACATGCACATAATATGTTTATGCATGCATGTTAAATGTATAACAGATGGTATAAGTTAGGCTAAAATTATCTAATTAGCTATTTCAGTTAATGTTGCAGATTGCATTGTTCCTTAATCTTCTAATTGGATTTGGCTTATTATTTTTTTGCAGACTGTTAGAGCAATTTTATAAAAAAGTAAGATTGAACTTTCGATTATGTCAAAAAGAGTTTCCGATTCTGGAGCTGCCAAAGGATTTACAAAGCGAAAGCATGTTTCAATGTACATTGAACAAAATGTGGAATTGCTGCAAAAAATGGATAGAAGCATATCCTTTGTTTCTCTAACCATTCTGAAATCTGTTTATCAATTTCATACTGCTATGCAGAGGGGGGGAAGTCGCGATGCGCAATGAACTGGAAGTCGATCTGTCAGCACTATCCTCATCTTCAGGGCAGAAGTTTTTATTTTATTCGGCTTATAATTCCTTACTAAATGTAGTATTTCATCTTGATGTACTCCGTCTTTGTTATGATTTAAATCAAATTCCTCGTCATTATAAATATCACGAATACACATCAAATAGTTTTCTGGTTACAATTTTCTAATTTCAACTATGCGAAATGTATGCTTTACGCATGCACACGTTGAAAGAAATGTTTAATAAAGTAAACAAATAAATATTAAGCTTTTTTATGTGTGTGTGTGTAAATTTTGATACCCTTTAGATCATAATTGCCCTTTATTTCATAAATTACGGTTAATTTTATAATTTCTGTATGCCATCTTACCAGATTTAAACTGATGATCTGTAATCCGGAAAAAACCCTAATCCGGAATCGCCGAAGTCCCGACGAGTCCGGCTTAAAGACTTTGTACTGTAATATATTTGCTTTTAATTTTCTCTAAAATGTTTTGCTGTTGGGTTATTAATAAATGTGAATCTAGCCTTTATATCTAATTAAATGTTATTGTTTTGAGAAAAGTATTTGATCTGATTAAAATTAGACAAAACACCAACTTTATTTGGCCTAATTCTAAGTTTTACTTTCGCATGTTTCTCTTTTCTCTTCATCTAATTTGGTATTCACTCAAATGTTAAATATGTATGTGCTCACGTATCCGACCTCGTACAAACGATGATTTTCAATCAAAATTTCGATTTTTACTTTATTACATTATTTTAAAGAATACATCTTTGGCTATTAAATACAAGTTTCTGCTTGTTGATAGGTTAAATAGAACTGAAGTTATAAGCATTTTTCTGTAACGGAATAAACCGGAAGTTCCAATATTCTGAGCCTGAAATGAGCGTTTAAATAGATATACCTATTAAGAAAGCTTATGTATTATCAAGATTTTGTAAATTATAAACCTTCGTACTAAGTTTAGATATTTTGTAATACATTTTAAGAATCTGGCGATAGTTTTTTCCCTTAATTTCATATTTAGTTTGGTGCAGAGGGTATTCGATGTTGAATGGATGTGTTGCTGCTTTGTCGATTAACTTTGACAAAGTGCTTGATTTGAAAGCTATGTCACATTTTTGCATCATTTGCAACAAAATAAACAGAATGCAATCCAATCACGACATATGTAAAGTGTAGCATAATTGTTCTGCAAATTATAAAAAAGCAGCCTCGGGTATGGAAGCAGTTGGTGCTTATGTGCTTTTTGAATGACTTATTACATTATGAAAGCTGAAGTACACGGAGTATGATGAGGATGGGGATTCTAAGGAGTTTTTAACTGTGAAAGATATATATGGTAAAGATTCGGTCAAGAAACTGGAATGCATTGGACATGTATAGAAAAGGGTTTGGTAGTAGACTACGAAAAGTAAAAAAACTCCACTCCTGAATTGAAAGGAAAAGCTAAACTGGCTGATTCTTTTATTGATAAACTGCAGAATTAGGGATTGCAATTAGAAGTAATGTGGAAACGTTAATTGAGGATGCAGCAGGATGTATACTAGCTGCTTCTTCCATTGTAGTTCTTCTTCGAAGCCAATGCCCTTCCTCAATCAATGAGTTGGAATGTGCGATTGCAGAAATCAGGAAGAAAAAAAATCAGGCCAAAAAACCTCTGGTAAATCAATATATATTTTGAGTAAGCCTACATATATGCAGTTGATTACATAAACAAGAGTTATTAAAAAGTGCATACATGGCAAAACTCAAAATATCAGGGAACGTTTTAATGGCATTTTATTGCAAATTGTTCCGAAAGAAACATTCATAAACTTGTGAACATTAATGTTTGGAGCAATTGTATTGTGTTATTTAAGTGTTGTGTTATTTAATGATGGATTTATAGGTTTGCTTGAAGCATTTTCAAGGTTAGGTATGTATCCTGAATTTCACACTGAGCAGGGAACTCGAAAACTTGATAAAGTGCAAAATCATGATTCTTGGCGGCATTCCACAAGTTTTACAAAAACCCAAATAAAAATTTATGCTTTGTTCGAAAGAAAAAGTGCAAAGTGTGTGAAGGAAAAATAAGGTGTCAGTTACAAAGCAGGCGAATTTTAATTATCAGAGATGATTCTTTCACTAAGACATTGTTGTATGAAAACTTTAAACTTGTTTTCTGAAAAATGTTTTTGCTGTAAATATTGCCAATAGTAACAGCCATAACTCAAAATTTTATCGATAAAATTAAATGATGCTTTCTATACATGTTTCATATAATCTGATGCATGCTCTGAAGTGGAAGATTTTAGAAATATTAATGAGAAGTTGAATTGTTACTTTTTATTTTTAAATTTTGGATGCAACAATAGGAAAATATACAATAAATACTATACATTTTGACATATCTCAATATGAATATTTCTTAATTATTTTGCTTCATTGCATACAAATAAATACAAATTTAAAAAACTGCATATTTATATATAAATTTTTCATCGTGGTTGTTGCTGTAAAGGCAAAATTTAAGGAAAAATTATCCTTTTTTTCATTATTTTTCAAAATTAAAACTACTCAGCCTTATGTTTTTAAGCTGTTTTCATTAATTAATATGCTTATCTTCAAATTAATATGTTTATAGTTAAAATCATTTTTTTAAAAATGGTACCCGAATGAGGTCGGATACCTTAATTAGCTTGATATTAAATAGTTAAGTGCTATTAATGTTTAACATGGAAAGTGTACATTTTAGAAGAATTTGAATTTATAAATTTCTCTGAAATAATATACCTTGTTATGAGTAACATAAATATGAGCTTGCCCTCCCTTGGATGGCACATAGCTGACTTAAGCTCAACCAGTGCTAAGGCTGGAAGTGGTGGCCACTTTACTGTTGAAGCACCTAAAAGATAGGCCACCATTACCTCCTTTGATGGGACAGACTATGTCTTCTCCAGGATTTGAACCAAGGCTCTTCAGTATCACAGTAGGTTTCCATAACCACTGTACTGTCTGGGCAGCTAAATAAACATAAGCTAATTTCCTTTAAAACATCCTCCAGCTATGCAGAGAGATCTCATGTGCTTCATCATAATCCAATCCAATCCTGTAAATTATAAAATTATTTTAGTAATACTTTTAATTTCAAGGATTAAAGATATTTTTGTTGAACGTTATCTCGTGCGTGTAGAAATCACTTAATAATTTGTGAAAGAAATTTTTAGTTCAAGAAATTTATAAAAAACCAACCCTAATTCTGTGCACTTTAGATTTCATCAACAATTATTTAATAGTAAAAAGACTTGTTTTTGAGACCTCCTGACTTTTCTGTGTAAGTGATGAAATGAAGGACACTATCATTTAAAAGAATAGTAGCTCATATTTCAGTAAAATTTGGACTAATTACATGTAGATTTTTAAAAAATACATGAGTAAAATCGAATAAAGTTTTTAAGATTTAATGATTGAATCATAATTAAAAGCGGTTCGAGATCTTATATACCTGTTCATGTTTCTATGAAATAAAAGCAGAATTCAATGTTTTCATTTTCTTAGATACGAATAAACAACTTTATAAAATCTTAATATAGTTATGTGTTATATTTCTTTGGAATATTTGATACTTTGTTTTAGTAGGATGCCATATAGCACTAAAATTAAACATTAGTTCGGCATTTAACTAGAATATGCCACCCCTAATGATGCATAACGCTTCATGGGTCTGTTCAGCTATCAGTACCAGATTTAGAAATATATCAATGTATTAAGACACAATAACACGCCGAATAAATACTAATTCAGAAGTCAAACAACAAAAATCAGCATTAATTTACAAAATTTTCACGGGACTTGTTTCGATGGTTTTACCGAACCATCATCTTCAGCTGCAAAACCGCAAATGAACAAGATAGGAAATAATGTTTAGATAAGATAAGAAAGCCTGGACAAGAATAAGCAAGTGGCGCCATCTGTTGGCGAAACCAGAACTAAAACATAATTTCTCTAAAAGCCGAGGCAAATTTGGATTGGAATTAGGATCGTTAAACTAGAAACAGAAAGATTTTTATGGAATGTGAAAATGCCTCTAGAAAATCCAGTTCTCCAATGGAAGATGTTTTTTGAATAATTTGGTAGCAGAAAATTGAAATGTGATTTTTTCGGACCAACAATGTTGGGCAACAGAAGAACTGTGTTTCTTTTTTCTAACATATGCGTCATGTTCCTTGACGCGAAATTTTAAGGCTCTCTTAGTTTGGCCAATGTAAAT